ATTGGAGGAAATGCAGAGCGACGGGCCATATCAGAAACTTTTTAATACAAGAGATTTCCACAGGCTGATAAACGTGACAGTGCGACGCATAGGGACGAGGACCGTATTCATAATTGAAATGCCAGAAATTGAGTCAGAGGAATATCACCTATACAGAATGTATGGACTTCCATATTTATATTCAAAAAATGGAGTAAAAGAGGCTATTGCTATTCAACCGAGAGCTAAGTATTTGATGGTGGCAGACAACAGAGTCTGGCAAACTCTAGTAGATGAAGATCAGCTAAATAACTGTGTAAAAACAGGACAGTTCATGGTATGTATACCTGCATACCCTTTTTACAAGCTAGAGTCCTTAGCGGGGTGTGAGGCCAAACTCTTTCACAGTTATTTTGGAGGGTTGCCAGCAGACTGTAAAACAGTAAGCAAGTCAGGTAATGGAATACAATGGCAGGCATTGACCTCAAGCGGAGGATGGATATATTCAACCATGTACCGAAGGAGTGTGAACATAAGTGATTACTCAGGGCAGATAAAAACTGTGCTCATTACTGGCACAGGGATCTTAAGAGTAGATAAGGCTCATCATATTAGCTCAATGGATAGTTTAGTATATGGAGAAGCTTCCAAAAACATTACAAAAATGAAAGCTGTTTATAGGAGATTGACCTTTGTAGTAGGAAGACAGGAAACACCAACAACAACGACCACGACGAGGACCACAACAACAGAAGTACCAAATAAAGATATGGAGATAGTAAATGTTACGTATCAGGAAATGAGGGAACAGATGGAGATACTATTACAGAAAAATTATGAGAAGGCCAAATTAATTGAAAATATGGAAACTCGATTATATAAAAATGAATTAACCACAATATCGCTATTTATAACCTTGGCATTTTCTATCATCACAATGTTGATCATCTCATGCTGCCGCAGAACGCGAGAATACACGATAAAAAGAAGTGTAGAGACAGAGACCGAGCCAACGTCTAACTACGATGTTCCAAAGGCACCTCAAAGAGCAGTGCAATTTTCATTCCAAGAAGAAAATCAGTTGCTGGGAGAAACAAGAACAGAATATGTTGAATTGTCAACGGTCCAATAAGAAGAAATTTTTCCTTTTGACGCACATGGTTTGCACTTTTTCAACAAATATATATATACATATATACAAGAAGTAGTGCTTATAAAATAATATCTATAATCACTAGTGGTGTGGTTCACGCTTTATATTTGCTATTTGACGATTTGTATCTAGAACTAGATTGTATTGGAATATTTTTTTTGTTGTCTTGGTGAACTCTAGGTATACAAGGTATTGAACAAGAGCAAAGAAAGGAGTTGGGCATCATGACTGAGGTGGATATAGCTTTTGAAGCCACAGATAATGGCCAGGGATGTTTTATGTGTAAGGATATTAACTGTCCAATAACCGTATTGAGCAAGGAGGCTGACAAACTTTTCAAGTCTAAGATACAGTATAGCGGGGATTTCAACCTGTATACAAGAAGCAGAATAGTAATAGCGAAGCTAAATGGTGAAATTGCCGTGGGAGAAGATTTTGATATCCATCATGCTATGAGAAGAGCCGCGGACGTTTTAATTTGGAAGTTACCGGTAATTAAGGAAGGAATGGACAGAATACAAGGCAAGGTAGTCAAGCAAAAGCAGGGAGAACATTCTGGAGCAGATAAGAGATCTACCTATGAGCCGCCACCCAATGTAAGAGGATGCGTGTGCTTAAAGGAAAACTGCTATGTTACTAGATTAACGGAATGGTGTCGACAGAAGACCAAGAATATCATACCTAAATATTATGTTTGTCGCGGTTCAATACATGGATCAGTAGCTGTGTTTTGTGCAGTTGGAGAATTAGTAACTATGAGTGAAGAAGGGTCTACTGATGTGCATAGAGCAGCTCAGGGATCCGCAAAGAAGCTGTTAGGAAGATTGCAGGGAGCAGAAATGAAGAGGAAAATAATGCAAAAAAGGAGACAGGATACAGGGGAACAGCCTAGTCAAGGAGCTCTGAAGAAAAGACAGGTGGCTACCGAAGAACCTCAACCGGGGCCGTCACACCAAACAGCGTTAGTAGAAACGTTTGCAAGTGAATTATCGCAAGAAAAGAAGAAAAGAGAAACAGAACTAATAAGATGGTTAAAGCAAAAGTTGAGTTATTACAATATAATACATTACAACGAGGTGAGGACGTTCAGAGACAGTGCAGTAAGGAATTATGGAGTACCCGAAATAATCATGAGCTATCTAGGAGAGGGAATTTTTACCCACGAGTGCCGTATAAAAGTCGGAGGGCGAGACGAACTGAGCGTACTTAGTCTTGGAACTTCAGAGGCCAAAGCAGCATATACAGGCATTAACGCAGTATTGCAGAGGCTCGACCCAGCAAGTACCAGAGCAACACAAGGGGAATCATCTAACCAGCCACAGTAAAGAAGAGGCGAAGAAAAAATTTCTCCCGTCTGAGGAATTGGAGGAGAACAAGCCGAGGCAGAGAGAGATTGTAAATTTTCTTTTTATTCTATTACGTAAGACAAGGGCAAAAATGTGTGGCGAAGAAAACCCCTGCTGTAAGCAATGCAGGTACGAGGTCCTCAAATTAAGAGCGCAGAGAACATTAGGTGAACAACCCAAGCTGTATTTGATGGAAGAGCCTGGAGTAGAGGAGACCACGGTGGAGCTATGGATAGGCCATAGATACCAAGTAGGGACACATCGGAGCAGGAACGAGGCCTTGCTGCAAGCAATTCAAGCGGCAGAGGACAGGTTGGACTACGAAGTGGTGGAGACACACCGCAAGAGGGAAAACCTAGTAAACCGACTTCTAAACATCGCCAGAGAGATTGAGGAAAGGAATTCACAGGGCAACAACAGTGACTAAAATAAGCACGTGCTAGTGTAATTTGTGTGAATTGTGTAAAAGCACCGGCACCAGAGTGACAATTTATTTTTTTTGTGAGTGTTCAGTGTAAACAAAAGAAAATAAAAAAAAAAATATATATGTATGTGTATTAAATGTATGTGTGGGTAGCACAGAATATATATATATGTACTAAATGTATGTGTGCTAATATTACAAAGAAAATGTATGACTATTAATTAATCAATTGTTGTAACAATCTTTTTGCATGAAGTCATTATTTGTATTGCAATTTAAATGTATGTTGAATGTTTGTAACCTTGGTGTGAGCAAAAAAAAAAAAAAATAAAAAAAAATATACAAAATTACATAAAAACAAATCACCACGACTCAAATTTTTTTTTACACTAAATTATTAACACTAGTTACACATAGTCCAAACTTAATATTTAAATTAATATTTTGTAAAGGTAGCAGAAAGAATCTTCAATGGGGAAGATGGACTCGCGTAGTAACCATTGGGTCACTAGCACTCATCCAAAAGCAGGGAGATTTGTTATGTACCAGAGTACACAACATTTTTGTTAAAATAAAATAAAATGTATTAAAGTTAAAAAGAAAAAGAATCAGTAAGCAGAGGAAAAGTCAGGTAAAGAAAAATCAATGAGTGAAGTCAGACTTGAAGGCACCAAGGGGAAACTCAAGGACGCTAGGTGGACAGACAGGTGAGGAAAGAAGAGAAAGCGGGCGTAGAGGCAGCTCAAGAGGCCCGCACGTGGATAGCCTGACTGAAGGAAATTTGGATATTCAAATCTACCGGATTGGCAGAAAGAGCAATAAAGCTACCACCTCCAGCTTTTCAGAGGGGTTGGAACCCTGGATAAATAGTCCAGATTTTCCCAAGGAACTTCAGTCTCTGCTGAATTTTTGTTGGGCTTGGTGCAAATTTTTGAACTGTAGTCTACTTCGATTTGATATTTTTTAAGAGAAATTTATTCTCGGTAACTTTAAAGATTTCCTTCAATCTATAATCATTCAAGAGAAACAATTCTTTTAGAATTTTCTTCTTGAAGAAAATAATTCTTCTATTTACTCAAACCAGTATATTTTTAAAACTCAACTCGACCAAAGAAATATTTTTTCTTTAAAGTAATAAAAACATTTTTCTCAACTCGTCGGGAAAGATTTTGTGAAGAAAAATCTTTGAGAAAGTATATATACGTGAGCGAACGAGCGAAGTCGAAGTCTACGAGTAAGAGAGAGAGGTGCGGTACGGCGAGGGAGCCCAAGCGGCTGTAAATCAACCAACCAGGGAGCCTAGCCGAGTATCTTCAGGCAGCACCACAACCTGCTACGCACCGACCTGCTGAACAGCGCTTCATCTTTCTGCTACCTATCAGTTTCACCCTTGTAAAACAATTTCTGTTCAACTAAAGTGAGTAAAGGCTAATAAAGATTATCTATAATAAAAAGGAACAACTCTCTTCTTCATTTGTTGCACCATAGTGGTTTGCCAGCACTGATTACCTTACCTATTTCTTTAATTTTCCATCTAAAATAAACTCTGCGAGGTCTCCGCACCCGAGTGGAGTAGAAGGCGATTGTGTCTTGACTCAAAAAAGAGACCGTTCTGTTACGGGGACGTAACAACAACTTTTGTTGGTTTTATTAAATGTACAAATATTTGCTATCATGATCCCTAAAAAAAATTTTACATAACTATAAATTCTGTCTGAGGATATTTTCTTACAGGAATATTTTCTTTAAGAAAACTCCGTATTTTTTAGATTTATGAATGAAAATTTTTCCTTCTATGCGATTTGTTATTGTTAAAAATATTTTCTTTGAAAAGACTCGATGATAACATGAATCCAGATATGCCTCATATGGGTGATCGTTTAGTATGTTACAGTGCAATATTTAAAATAATTAAATTATTTAATGTTTCGAATAATTTATGTTTATGGGTATAAAAATTTCTTACAAAGAATGAGAGTCAATCCAAATTTTTAATGAAAAATTTCTATATAAACTCAATGATTCAGTAATCAGACTGTTTCATTGAATTTTTTATTTTATAATTAATGTTCATTGAATTAATGATTATGCTTTCTACCTGTACAAGATTTGCCATCAAGCGCTAAAATTTGTTCATCTCCATTACAAGTACAGAAATAACTACCGTTTGTATTTTCACATACTTCACTACATTCTCCATTGTTTTCTTCGCACTCGTTAATATCTGAAAAAAAATTTGTTTTAGTAATATGATATAATTACCAATCAACTGTTATCACAAAAACTGATAACAAATTGTTGGTGCACTATTCTCAAGTACTGACTAATCTACCTCATTAGAGTCATTAGCGATAATAGATCATTAGTGAGATGAGTATTGTCAGTAGTGTCTCATCACCAAGACTATTAATAGTTATTTCTTATTAGCCCTAATGGTAATAACAATGTTTTCTACTGTGGCTACTGTAACTAATACTGTAAAATTTTTACAAATAAAAATTTAGTATTTATTATTATAACAGTAATATCAATGTCAATTTTTCATTTGACAGCTCATAATTCAATCTTATTTTTACGATAAAAAGTGTCTACTATAAAATATTAAATGGAAAATTAACAAAAATAGTAAAAATAATTATTTATAAGTAATCTTCATGATGTTATTTTGTCCGTATACAAATTAAAAATCAATATATTTTCATTTTATCAAAATTAAATTTTAACTCACCAACACAAGTTGATTTTGATGTTTCTTTGAAACCCGGAGGGCATTTATTTTCTGGTGATCGATTAGGCTGATACTCGACTGGATTGATGCAATAATAGGAACCAGGTGTGTTAATACATCCATATTTACAGGCATGATGTTGTAGTTCAGGAACTAAACACTCGTCCACATCTAAATATTTATAATGAAAAATATTTCTGTCAAAAACGACGGTTTTTTCAATTAGATATTCAACAAAAGATTAACATTGTATAAGTGAACCTTCACAAGTTTTCCAGTCGTTTTTTAAGATGAAACCATCAGGACAAAGACAAAAAACTCTTTCAATCGTTGATAGACAGGTGTGAGAACATCCAGCATTGTTTACAGTACAAGAATTGATTTCATGACAACTGTGGTTATCAGCAGCAAGAAAAGTCCCAGGTAATTTATCACATGAACATAAATAGCCACCTTCAAAGTTTTTACAGGTGTCTTGACAAGGTCCATGGCCATTGTTGAACGAGCATTCGTTAATATCTAATGATATAAGAAAATATTAATGATGGTATTTTTATATTTAAAATTAGTAGAATAGTGAAAAAAAACGATAAATTAATAACAATAGAAAAACTACCCGCCAGTGTGAAGTGAGAAACTTATGAAAAGTATTAAATTTTTTTCAACTGAATGGTCTTTTGTCAAGTAGTTAGTATTACTGCTGCGCAATATTCACTAAAAATAATGAAATTTATCTCCAATATTTTCCCATAAAATAATTACATTATTGGAAACAATAAAGAAAAGTTTCAAGCAAAAATAGTCATTGATGAAATTTTTTATCCAAGCTGTCTTGTGATGTTTTCAATAATGTAAACCTATTTACAAAAAAAAAATTCAGATAGTTTATAAATAAAACTTGATAAAATAAGTTGGCTACAAAATTAAAATAATATAATTGACGAATTAAAATTGTGTAGATGTAAATCTTACCGATGCATTTATTATTGCTGAGATTGAAACCTTCATGACACGAACATGTGGCTTTTCTATTGACTTGAATACAAATATGATCACAAGATAATCGATTGCAAGAATTAATTAAATTTTCATCTAAACATGAAGGTAGCTCTCCAATCCACTTTCGGTTTTTGCATACCAGTTTGCTGCTGTTGGATGCCAAAGAATAGCCAAACATACATTGATAATTAGCTTCCAAATAAATGTGTTCTGGTTGTGATGACCTGTTAATTGAACAATTACATAATTATATTAATAGAATGAATTTCATAACATTAATAGCCATTAAATGTTTACAATACTAAGCTTACTTTATATATTTAATGAGTGTATGAGAAACGAATGGTGCTGGAATGAATTCTCCTACAATACAAGAAATATCTCCATTTGAAAATCCTTCAATTGTATAATCAACATCAAATTTAGTCGTTTCTTGCACATTTTGCCAGTTGTAACTATTTTTGTCTAATAAAAAATCATTTTCAATCTTTTGATCATTGAAGTTATCCCAATTATTACGAAAATTAAGAAGTTTTGATTCAACAATTTCTTTCTCTAAATTTTTTGTAAGTTCTTTTTCCACATTGACTTGTACATTTTTTATATTAGAAGATTGAGATACTGGAGAATGTTTTTGATTTTTCACATCAATTAATCTTCTTTTTTTATATCCTTTCACCAAGTGTCTTGATTCTCCCTTCAATTTTCGATAATTTCTTGTTTTATATTTTTTTAGTCTTCGTTTTAAAATATCCGGTTCTACGAGTTACATTTTAGAATGATTAATATAACAAATCGAATACGTGAAAATTATAAGAAATTATCAATTTGTAATATAACTCATAAAAAAAAATTTCGTTCCCTAAATCTTTCCCAGGGGGAAAGTTCTTCAACGTTACTCTTGTAGTCCAGTCGAATGAGGGAAATGGGATAATTTTTACTTGCAAAGGCTAGATTTTGTTTAATTTTCGATTCTGCACATTTCAAGCCAAAAACCGGGCTGATTGGTGCATTTTTACGGAAATTAGAGCAATTAAAATAATTGATGATCAATAAAAATAGTGAAAAAATTATTAAAAAAATTTTTTTTTCCTGTAGAAATTAACTTTGATATCTTATTGTTCGAAATCAATCGTCACAAAATGACATTTTTGGTGTTAATTATTTTTTATTAATTTTTACAGTGTAGACTGATAATTCGGTCGCGAATAAATTTTAATCTATGATAAATACAAAAAAAAGTGATCAGTTCTCGATTTACTCATGTACGCCAAAGATTTTTAACTTACACCATCGTGTTCCTCGCGAAATTTCCGATCCAGTAATGCATGAATTAATAGTTTAGCTTTTGCAAGTGAGAATTATCCCATTTTCCTTTGAAACTATTGTTTGACTGAACTATTGTCCAGTACAGTGGAACTACACTGTAAATTCCAGTTTTCCAAAATGCATTATTTTAATGCGGATAAGTGTGTTAAATATGACGTCACCCATTTGATTAACATTGTAGTCACTTTTTACACATTTAGAAATGCGTTTAAAGTGTCTACAATGGTAATCAAATGGGTGACGTCATATTTAACACACTTAGCCACATTAAAATAATGCATTTTGAAAAACTGGGATTTATAGTGTATAGGGAACGTTTGGGGAATAAAATTTTTTCATACGGGAAACCATACAACTATTGTAGTACAATATATTAAAATTATATTTTTGAAATTATGCGTTTAAATATCACTGCTCTACGATTAATTAAGAACAGGGAAAGGTCAGATAGATGTATGCAACACGTAAATAACATTTGAATAAACTAAAACTTAATATACATATTAAGTATAGTAGGTGTATATATATAATATTTACATAAAACAAATTTATTACGACACTAGAAGTTTATATTTTTTGATATGTGTTAAAACAATATTTATATAGAATATGTTAATCACTGAACTATTGGAACGAATTGTTGAAATTAACTTTCTACAAATAATATCCTTCAAAGTAGGTGTTTTACGAATGTTAATGCCATAATAATATTTTGAAATATTATTATGTTATAACATAATCTCATCGTCATATTACCACAATAGTTTATTTTCTAATTCACAAAAACTCCCGTATTATATTGTTGTAATCCTCAGTATTTGTAATATAAAAAAAAACTATTTCGATTAATCGTTTTTTTATTGTACTTACTTAATGTTTTTTTCAAATTTTTTGATGGTTTAATGAATTTTTTCATTATTGAAATACTAGGATGTGAATCATTTTTAAACCATTTCAGTTGATCAAAGTTATCATTTGAAAGATTGTTGATATCTTTTTCTTGTTTCCTAAATAAATTACATTTCAATTATTGCAAATAAGTTTTTCTCGACCAGTCTATATGGTTTATTATTTTTTTTAGAATATAACAAATCTTACTTCAACTTATCACAAATTTCGAGATTCTTCAAGTTCTGCAGAGTAATATTTCTATTGAAGTTAAAATTTTTTGAACTTTGAGTAAACCCTGAAAATTAAAATAGAGTAATCTTTTTATTTAGATATCGTATATCTAAATAATTACAGTTTCGATAACAAAAAATGAACGATGATAGTCAGAAAAGCTTCGTGCATTTTGAACAATACCCAAGAAAGGCAATAGATGTATAAAATTTTTTCCTAAGCATTTTACATCTAATGATTTCATGCTATCAAATTAATAGATTGAATTCACACAGTCTTCTAGGGACGGCACAGATCAAGGGAGGAGTCACATATGACGAATACAGGCACGATTTAAAGCGAATTATATTCGCTGGCAAGATAGCTTAACTGCCAGAGCAGACAGCGCGTAACTGGAAGGTCCGGGTTCGAGTCCTGGTCTTAACAGAATATATTTTTCTCTAAAAATCGTCCTGAGCTAGTCGTGGAGTAGTCTATATGTGTTTTATTGGCTAAAGTGGAGGTGTACATCTAAAAGGGAACTTTTTCCAATATTTGTTCAGTGTATAATCACTTTTGATTTGCACGTTTTTTCTTGGTCCAGGATGTAAAAATGCTTTAGCCACGGTGTCAGCAGTAATGTCTTTGATTGGAATTGCTTTTGGCCACCTAGAGAATCTATCGACCATTGTTAAACGGTAGCTAAATCCTTAAGACTCAGGCATCGGTCCTACTATATCCACATGCATGTGGTCAAAGTGTTGATCAGGCTCCAATATTTCTTATTCTATTTTTACAGTTTCAGGTGATAAATTTGATTTTGATTTTATCGAGACTGTAGAAATAAAGATTTCCAATATTAAGGTTAATTTAGAGGTTGTTTTTGCTGAAATTGAAGAAGAATGTATTCTAGGATTAGATTTCTTAATCAAGTCTGGTTTATTTACTGATTTCAAAGATCTTCTTGATAAAAAAATTCTCAGAAAGTAATAAAATTGTTTCAATTAATAAAATTAGTTCTTCTTTGAATAAACTTCCAGAATTTGTTTTAGATTTGTTTGAAAGATCAACATTTTTGGATGTTAATGATAAATTTCGTTTTGAAGAACTTTTTTGAAGAATATGGATATTTGTGCGAAAAATTCTTTTGATTTAGGAAAGTGCAAAATTTTACAACATAAAATTAATGTTGGAAATGCACTTCCTATTAAACAGGCTCCTCGTCGTATTCCTTTACATCATAGGGATAAAGTTGATTCAGTTATGGAGGAAATGAAACAACAGAATGCAATAGAACCTTGTAATGGTCCTTGGGCTTCTCCTGTTGTTCTTGTCCAAAAAAAAGGTGATGAAATTAGATTTTGTGTTGACTATCGTAAATTAAACGATGTCACAGTTAAGGATTCAACACGAATTCCTCATCAAGAAGACATATTGAATATGGTTCTTGGTGCTCAATGGTTTTCTACCGTTGATTTAAAAAGTGGATATTGGCAAGTTGAAGTTGCTCCGGAGGATAGATCTAAAACTGCTTTTTGTATTTGGAATAAGGTTTGGCAATTTAAGGTTCTTCCTTTTGGTTTGTGTAATGCTCCTGCTACCTTCGTTAAACTTATGAACACAGTTTTAGAAGGTCTTCTCGGTAAAATTTGTTCAGTTTATTTGGATGATATTCTTATTTTCAGTAAAAGTCTAAATGAACATTTTATTTATCTTCAAAATGTTTTTGAAAGACTCTCACAAGCTTCTCTTAAAATAAATTCTAAGAAATGTATACATTTCCAAAAAAAAGTTATTTTCCTTGGACATGTAGTTTCTGGTAAAGGACTGAGAAGTTCTCCAGATAAAATTTCTGCCATTATTAATTAGCCTGTTCTTAAAAGTAAATCTGAAGATATAAGTTTTCTAGGTCTTTGTTCTTATTATAGGAAATTTGTCGAAGATTTTGCTACTATTGCAAAACCTTTATATCTTATTAATTAGGAAAAAAATGATTTAATTTGGGATGTTTTAGATTTTCAAACATTTCAAAAATTGAAACAAATTTTGACTTTTACTCCAATTTCGGGTTATCCTGATCCAAATTATCCTTTTATTCTTGATACTGATGCTTCGAATATTGGCATTAGTGCTGTGTTATCTCAAAAGATTCCAGTTGATCGTAATGGTGTTCTTCTGTTTATGAAGAAAAAGTTATTGCTCACTTTAGTATGACTTTAAATAATCGAGAACGTAACTATTGTGTTACTAGGAAAGAATTATTAGCTGTTGTTATTTCTGTTGAACATTTTCGTCATTTTCTTCTTGGCAAGAGGTTCACTATTAGAACTGATCATGCCTCTCTCACTTGGTTACTTTCTTTCAAAAGTCTTCAAGATCAAATAGCTCGTTGGTTTGAAATCTTATTTCAATATGATTTCGAAGTTCAACATAGACCTGGTCATAAACATGGCAATGCTGATGGTCTTTCTCGGCGTCCATGTGATTGTAAAAAATGTCTGAAAGTAGATTCTGATGAAAAATGTGATAGTAGGCATATTTTCCGTGTCATTTGTGAAATAAATAATGATTCTGATTGGATCAAATTTCAAAATGATGATAACATTTTGAGTTTAATTATTAAATTCAAAAAGGAAAATAAAGTTCCCGAGTTTAATGATGTTTCACATTTGGATTCTACTTTTAAAATTTATTTACTTTATTGGAATTCTTTAGAATTGAAAAATGGTGTTTTAGTTAAACGTTGGGAAGCTCCAAATCTTTCTCATATTATTTTTCAGGTTGTCATTCCTCGAGCTAAAGTGAATAAAATAATTCATGAGGCTCATAATTCTCCTTCTGGTGGTCATTTTGGTATTAATAAAACGATTTCAAAAATTCGTCAACGATTTTCCTGGGCAACTCTTAAGCAAGATGTTGAGATTTGGTGTAAAAAATGCAAAGTTTGTTTCGCTAAAAAGGGTCCCCATAAAAAGTCTTGTGGTCAACTTCAAATTTATAATGTTGGTTCTCCTTTTAAAAGGGTTGCCATTGATATTCTTGGTCCTCTTACTAAAACCTCCTCTGGTAATAAATTTTTACTTGTTGTTACAGATTATTTTATTAGATGGCCTGAGGCGATTCCTCTGCCTAATCATCAGGCTTCTACTATTGCTAAGGCTTTAGTAACTCAAATATTTTGTAGATATGATGTTCCTATTGAAATTCATTATGATCAGGGTCGAGAATTCGAATCTAAAATCTTCAAGAAGGTCATGAGTCTTTTTGGTATTAAGAAGACAAAAACCACACCTCTTCATCCTCAATCAAATGGTTTAGTTGGAAGGTTGCATAGGACTATTCTTCAATATTTGTCCAAATTTATTAGTAAGAATCAAAAAGATTGGGATAAGTGGATTTCTTTATTTTTATTGGCTTATCGTTCTTCAAGACATGAAACTACTGAGTATTCTCCAGCTTTGTTGATGTTAGGTCGTGAATTAGGGTTGCCTATTGATCTTCTTAGAGGAATTAATCCTTCAGATAATTCTTTTGAGGATCATTCTATAACTGATTCTGTTTTTAATCTTCGTGAACAATTAAAGATTGTTCATGATAATGTACGTGATAAGTTGCAAATTAAATCTGAAAAACTTAAGTATATGTATTGTAAAATAAGACCCAATAACAACTTCGGCAAATTAATAAATATAGAAAAATGTTTATTAACGATTGACAGCAATTAATAAGAAAAAAAGAATCCGTGTGGTCAACTCAAGTCTCAGTCCAAAACTAGAGATAAACAAACTCTCCCCTTGTTGCTATAAACAATCTAATCGTCAAGCAATCTTCGTTAACTAACAAACTGTCGTTAGCCAATCCATCTATAGATGGACACACATATATTTTACAGTATGATTTGAAATCTAATATTATTTCTTTTGATGTCGGTCAAAAGGTTTGGTTATTTTTCCCTAAAAGAGTGAAAGAAAAGTGTCTAAAACTTCCCCATTTTCGTACTGCCCTATATGGTAGTCTGAATGTGGGCACTTCGAACACGCCGAGCGCGAGACGCGTTAGCGACCGCCGACCAAAGCGGATAAAGTTGGTGCTACGGGAGGCCAAATTCCAAGCCCTGTGCCTGGGGCTGCAAAGTCAAAATATGACATGTAGGCCTAGGTACAACTGGCCAATTGAGGTCGGACTCGTAGTAGTATGTTGTAAGGTCTCGGGCTTGTTACGTGTATCCCTGTGCCTGTTCTAGGTGCAGGTATACGCGTTCCGGGAAATGCCATCGCGAAAAGAGTAGAGTTATAATTTCCCAGAGTTATGCCCAAAGAGGCGAGGTACTCAATTTTCGTCCTTCGGACGGGGGAAGCATGGATTTATCGTAATCCAATGAGAGTCTTCCGTTGAAGTTCAATTCGTTTTCTTTTTTCATATCATGGCTACCGCGAGTCGCGCAGATTCCTCCCTAGGAGACGGGAAAGAGCTTGAGCTGAATCTCCAGTCATTGAATGAGATCATTGGGAGATCAAGGTTGGGAGGATTATATGTGCAGGTTAACATCACAAATCGGGACGATGACAGAAGCAATTAAGGCTCTGAGGAGTGATGTCAACGCGATCAAGAGGGGGCAACCCGAAAGAACGTAGATTGGTGCAGCTCAGAGCGCACCAGCAAATCGCGACAGTATCAGAGTACACGGAACTGCTCCACCTAATCCAAGTAATGAGAGGGGAACGTCTTCAACGACCTCTTCTGTGGCAAATTCTCCCAACCATTCATCCTTCCAACAACCATTGTATCCCCGCCATCACCATTCCCTATCAAAGATGGTAAGAGATTAGGATCTGAAATTCCTGAGTGAGTAAAACGCGGAGCTATTCATATAGACACTAAAGAAAAATGTTCGGAGTGAAAGTCTGAGCATCGAGCAAACTACTGAATAAACGAAGGAAACCACTTCGGTGTTATAACTGTGCTAGAGTAGGACATTCTATAATGCAATGTAAGAGCCCTCATAAGGATTATTGTCATTTTTGCTGGAAAACGGAAGTCACTAAATTTAGATGTCAATGTAAAGATGAATTAGAGTTTCAAAAAAAATTGCGATTGCCTCGGACGGAATAGCAACCGATCCGAGGCCCAAAACTAGTGCTGTTCAAGTGGATGCTACTCAAAGCAATCCAGTAACAACAAATAATAATATCGTAAATGACAAGGACTCTCGTGGTCCAGCAAATGTCAACGTAGGTACTATCAATGATCCAGATGAATATCAGGAGGGGGAAGTAGATGAGTATAAATACAGTGGTAGTGAATTAGAGTATGAATCAGAGGAGGAAGACTCAGGAAATCCCCCTTTTGTTTTCACGACACAAGTAGATGTCAATTCTGAGAGAGAGTTAAATAATAATGATTCTAGTACTTGCAATTATCAGAGTCAAGTTCATATTAGCTCGTTGAAAAAATTTTCTCAAGCTGATAGGGCCGTTGGTCCATCACCTTTTTACGTAACTATTCATTTACCTATTGAAGTCGATTTTAATGGCGTGAAGGTACAAGGTATTATCGATGATGGGAGTGACAGAAGTTATATGTCAAAAGCACTCTATGAGAGAGTGAAAGATTGTCAGATTTCTCCTAAAGAACATGACTTCGTTACACAAAGAGGAACCAAGTTCGCAGATGGGGTTACTATTGGCAGACCAGAGTTCGCCACGAAATTTAAAATATCTGTTGATGGTTGGTTAGGCTATTCGTACATTTACGTAATAAATAAAATATCTAATGATCTGATTCTTGGCCACAGTTTTACTTTGGATTGGTGGATCGAGTCTAGCTCGAAAGACAGATATTGGAAATTTCATGGAGACGATAAGCTTCATCCTTATGCCATTTTTCCTTTACGTAGTCAAGAGAAATCGAAGTGTGATCAATGAAGAGCAGATCGAATCGCTTCTATGGTCGATAGTTCTTTTAAAAATCCTTCTCCAGGTGATTCACCTGAGAGTATAACACGTTTTACAGACGAGTTCAGTACGAACGCAGTCACTAATCCTTCACCACTATGTCTTCTGTTATTGGTAGACGATCAACGTGCCACTTTAAATATATTTCTTAAATAATAATCCAGTCGGTTTACGGAACGTGAATCAGTAGCAACAGATTACATTCAACACAATATACTATTGACTGATCCAACTCCTAATAAATAGAAACCCTACGTGGGGCGTTCAGGCATTAATGAATGTGGAGGTGGATAAGTTACTAAATAAAAAATGGAGTATTCCTAGTAATAGTTCCTGGACGAGTCCAGCTGTTTTAGTTTTAAAGAAAACTGGTGACAACCGATTTTGTATTGATTATAGGAAGCTGAATGCTGTCACCGTTAAACTTGCATATCCATAACCTAATCTTCAAGATATATGAGACGCTTCACACGGAGCAAAAATCATCAGTACGATCGATTTAAGTGACGCTTTTCATCAGATTCCGATGAAAAAAAATAGCCAACCACTTACCGCCTTTATGATAGAGGGCAGGGGCCTTTTTGAATTTACTTGTATGCCGTTTGGCCTCACTGGCGCGCCCAGTACTTTACAGAAATTAATGGAGCTATTAAAAACTCAAATCGTCTAACGTATTAAGAATGAAAATAAACCAATTCAGTGGGCAGATAGAATGTTCGCCTACTTGGACGACTGGATAATCGTGTCCGATAATTTTAAAGAGCATTTACAAATGCTGACGTTGGTCTTCGACGTGTTGTTTGACGCTCACATGATGGTTAATTAGAAAAAATCACATTTTGCTCGCGAACAAGTAGAGTTTTTGGGATTCATTGTAGATTCGCGGGGCTTACGACCCAATCCTGACCGTTTCGAACCCATCGTCCAATTTCCAGCTCCTAGGAACCGTAAGGAACTCAGGAGATTTAACGGAATGGTCAATTGGTATCGTCGACACCTCATTAACATGGCGAAGATACAATCCCCATTAAATAAACTTTGTAGTCCTAATGTCACATGGCAGTGATCAGAGGAATGTGATAGATCCTTTTGTGGGATTAAAGATCTTCCAGTTAAAGCTCCAATGTTGAGCATGCCTCGTCGAGATTCGCGTTTTTATGTACACACTGACGCTTCTGACACCGGAATCGCTGCGTTATTAACTCAGAAAGACGAACAGAGGGAACATCTAATATGTTGTATTAGTCGCCCATTCAAAGGGGCAGAGTCGAACTTTACTACCACTGAAAAGGAGTGTTTGGCAATGATCCACGTCGTTAGAAAATGGAGATGTTACTTAGAGAACACACCATTCACCGTCTACACTGATCACAGCTGTCTAGAATCATCTAGAGAAAATGGAGGTAAACTCTACAGGTTTCGTCCTAGCTATTACTACGACATCATAGGGAATGAAAAGTCTTGGAAACTGGTTCCTAAGGAATCAGAAATCCCTCAGTTGTTGAAGGAACATCATGAACCTCCTCAGTCCGGTCATTTAGGCCGATGTTGAATGCTTTGCAGTCGGCTCACTAGACGTGAAGAGAGTTGTCATGTGTTTAAGGGAAGTATCCAACCGTTGGGGTGTATCTTCTCTACTCTTGTGTGACAATGGCACGGAATTCATCAATAAACATGTTGCTGCATTCTTAGAAAAAGTAGGGACCATATTATGGACTACTCTGGTCTACCACCCCTAATCTGAATCTATTGAAATCGAATCAGATTGAATGGGAAACTAATCATCAATTTTAAAATTTGGATTTAATTGGATTTTATTAGAAATTTCTAATTCAAGCTCAATGGGGTTGAATGGGAAAATTATCGTTCACTTATAAAACATAGGAATTGTATGATTAAATTTGTCCAGCTTTATAATTCTTGTATTCATTAATAATATTTATTAACTGATGAAAATATACATCCTATTTACATTATCCTTGTACTCATTTTTTTTTCAAATCGATAATTTCTATTTGATTTTTACATTAAAAAATAAATGACACCCTACTGTATTTCAATATGTAATGTTATTGTTTTTATTTATAACACACCATTAATACAGAAATATAAAGGTCAAAAACAAAATTGAAATAACGAAACTTAGAGCATGTATTATTCGATTTCGATCACTCAAGAAATATAAATCACGTACATGAGCATCAAAGAAAATCATATAAATGTTAAACGCAAACAATTGAGAACCAATTCTATTAACAAAATTATAATGATTTAGTCATATAGCCTTTCTAGCCTGACCACGCTTACCCACAAGTTCACAATTTTACTTAAGATTAAAATAGTTAATACTCTTCATACCGTAATCGGGAAAATACTTTTCCACGTGCTCCAGTAACCTTCCAAGAATCAGTGAAGTCCTGATCTGGATGTCTGGTTGGTACTCAGTCCCCAAACAACATCCAAGATCAAAGCCACGGAGTTTAGGTTCCAGAAAGTTCCAACGAAATAGGTGTGAAGAAGTATCGTCTGGTAGCCGTGTTGCCAGGCCGGCGTCCGGAAGCCAAGAAAGTTATTATTCAATTTTTGAAGATGAATGTGGTGTCAGGAGGATGACCCCACTCCTAATGAGACTACCTCGGATGACCGCTGGTGAGCGCGGGCTAATTAACCTAACATAAATAGGGCAGTGGTCGCTAGTGCACTACAAATAGTATTTGGTTGTATACAAATATATGTAATGTCTTCTTCTGAATTTTCATTTTTAATATTCACTACGACTAGTTTTCTCAGAATACTAGTAATCGGCTCAGTTCTTGATTCTCCTCGTATTTTTCCGATTTGAAACATGTGAGTTATTATCGAATTTATTGCTAATTTCCAAATGTAAAACATCTGTAGCTTGACAAAAGTATGATCATTTATAACTTCAAAATGTAATATCCGACCAATTGAACTATCTTCTATTAAAACATACGTATTATCAGTTTTTTTTGTTTTTTTGTAATAAATACTTTGATAAACAACTCCATTTTATATACATTTATGATATATCATTCTATCTTCGGGTTTCAATGAATAATGTGATTTGTTGTTTATTACTGTAACTTTATCTGCTGTACAATAAATATTTTTGATAAATTTTTTGCGACAAACTATCTCCTTACATAAAATCCATGTCCATGATTCTCCGTTGTCATTAAAATTCAAAATATTTTCATAATTATTTTTTCTCTGGAAAAACCAACAATTCCCAAAAAACCATTATCCACAGTTCAAAACAATGTAAGTTACATAATATAGGACAGAGAAAAACTACATACGAAAAACAGGAGTTATAAAAAAATCTGGAATTGTTTTTTTCATAGATAAGTGCTACTGAAAGTCATATTTCAACGATAAACAGCTTTAAAGGGAAAATTACACCCTGTAAAAAACCAACAACTTCCAAAAAACCATTATCCACAGTGCAAAATAATGTAAGTAACATAATATAGGTTAATTTAAAGAAATAATTGTATTGAATTGTCCAATTATAAATCCGCTATTTTTTAGAATACGTTTGATTTTTATTTATAAGTTATAAATCAAATAATTTATTATGTATCAGTAATATATTATTCGTTGGAATTCACGCATCGTTGCCATCATGCAGTTAATGCAGAAACACTATAATTGTAGAACTCTTTAATTTTTAATAAAGAAGTTGGTTAGTTTAAGGAAAAATTGGTGGTTTTATAATTAGATAACTTAGTATTAAGTTGTCTATGAATAATATCTATTATTCATCGGTATTACAATATGATATTAATGTTTAGAATCTAAACAGTAATGTTGTTCATGAACAATTGATACAACTACAGAATCAAAATAAAGAATTACACGATCGTGTACTCGAATTAACGGAGAAGGACATCGAGCAACAAGAATTAATAAAAAAACTTATACATATTAATATGGAATTGGATGAAAAAATTATAAGCCAATATGGAAGTTCTGAAAGTAAGTCATAGCACTTCAATCTATTTATTCATTATATGTAATTCTTACTTAATTGTGCTTTGAAACGTGTTTTTATATTTTGAATAGATAATATAAAACAAAACATGAATAATAGCAACGGAAATTTTCCTCCGATTGGGGACGATGATAAAGATAACAAATCAGTATGTATTAACAATCTTCCTATCTTTCTCTCAGTTCAATGTCATAATAACCTAGATTATATAATGTACAATTGTTATTCAAATTTTTTTAATAATCTTCAACTCAAAATTCGTTTAGTGTATAAATTGTTATGCTACGTGTATAATTTGTTAGAGTAGTATAAATAATTGAAAAATACATAGTAATATATACATTTTTCTTATTTATAACATTAATAAATATATAAAATTTATCTAATTCAAATTCAGACACATATTGGTGGTGGAGAGTCGATACCAACAACAACATATAAATTGATGATGAGTGAAAAAAAACCTAGTGTTTTTGTGAGGGATGCCGCAAAAGTATTATTTGGAGAAGAAATATTACGAATTAGTACGATTACAGGAAAACTAAGTAATAGAAGTAGAAAGTCACAAAAGCTAAAGATGGAGCAAAAAAAATTAGATCCACGTTTATTGAATATCCTTGAAGGTATATTTTTAATTGTAATAGAGAGTATCGAAATATTTATGATTACAAAGTGATTAATTTTTTTTTAGATTTCACAACTCATTATTCAAATCAACTAAAGTTCAGTGAGATGTCAAGTGTGGAAAGAAATGGCCACATATATAAAATAGGCACATACATGGGCGGACTAATTAGCGAGCTAAAATCCAAGTCATCTCCATCAAATGGAAAAGATAAGAGTAATGAGGAAAACAAAGAAAATGAAAATAAAAATTCTAATCCCAATGAAGAGGATACTGTTGATTCAAATGATCATTTCAATCCCAAAAACAATGGTGATTATAATGAAAGTGACTACGATTAGTCCTTTCCACATAGATAGAGACATAAATATGATAAATATATTAATATATATTTAATAATAAAAGTAATACTAATAATAAAGTCATGAAAATTCATAAATAAATTTATGTACTGATTTAAAACATGGCATTTGAATTAGTTTTCTTCCATAGAAATCAATTGGAGAATTCTAAAATTTTCCGATTCAAAATCAAGCTTGAATAAAGTTTTTGCTATTATCTCCTTTTCCAATTTGTTCTGACTTGGAGGGGCCCAAGTCAGTTAGTCAGGAATAATCAAAATTTCGTAATGCTGGACTTGTCCACCGGCGCTTCAGTCAACTCACCGGACCAATCATCGGGAAGTATTTCCCTCATGGCCCAGAAGGCAACTCTACGGCCCTAGTGACGCCAACAAGCACGCGGTCGAGCACTTGTGGCGTCAGTTAGCTCCAGGCAAATCAAGCGGTCAACTCTGTAGAAAATTACAAAGTCAGTTAGCTCCAGGCAAATCACGCGGTCATCTCTGTATAATTTTTCGCAGTCAAATCGCAGTTTTTTTTGCAGTCAGCTCACTCGTTGTACAATAACGTACGGTCAAAGAGACTCAGACACCTCTCACTAAGATACGTGAATCATCAGATTACTCTCATCAGTGCAAGTGGTCCAGTATATTCAGTTTGTAGTGTCTTTGGGCGCGAAGCTGAACTGGCGTCGACGCCATAGTGCCTCACGGACATTCACCTATACATCGCTCCCCCGAATAACTCTGGTGTATACTGTGAATGTTGCTATTCACTGTTTTGTGAGACTATGTTATTTGGTGAAAAAATAACCATTGGACAACTCATAAGTGTACAAACAATTATGGTACAGTCAACTCAACTAGATGTAGTGATTATTAAATTCTATTGAGTACGTTAAGTGTTATTGTTGAATAAAAACTATAAAACCCAAGCAATTCAGTGTTAATAAACTATATTTTAGAACCTTCTAGCATCCAACCTTTTGTTCTTATTCTGCTCTGAATTCATACAGTCCACTAGTTTTCAGTTTGCTCATTCGGCCGACTCGAAGTCAGAACATTTGGTCCTTCGAGCCGGATAAGAACAGCTTGGATGCATATCGAACAATTCTAGAAGGTTCTAGGGCTTCATAATTTTGTGAATATTTTGTGAAATGCTCTGTATAAAGTGCTTGGAATTTAGTTAGACTCAAATAACTTTCAGTGTCAGTGTGTAAACAACCTTACAGACAAAAGGTGTTTACGCATTCCAGTGCCCAGTGACACTCATCTGTATTATTGTGAGACAGTGGTGCTCATCTCACAACTTAAACAATTTCTTGAGACGCTTGGCGCGCAGTTTGGTTGTGTGAGAGTCAAGATAACCTTGACGCAGTCAACTCACGTGTATATAAACATAGTTCGGTAATTATTGTAGTGTCCTTAGTGTAAGTTTAGTCACCTAAAATTATTATTAAGAGCTCGTAGACTCAGTTAATTAATTTGTGTGATTCTTTTGGTGTTGAGACTTTCTTGAAAGCCCACCATTGGTATCAAGGTGACAGCAGACAACTCTAGCATCAGTTTTTGTGCATTTTTTTTTGTGATAAGAGTAATTATAGTGACATTAGACAACTCATTTAAGTAAATCATGGCAGATAAACGTGTAATTTCTCCTGCCAAGTCGGACTACATAGATGTAGCTGACGACAACGACTCAATAGAGGGTATGGCCCAGGCCAAGAACCGCAGCCAACTCAACCAGGTTAACAGCCATCAACCTCCCAGCAGTGAGGTGATGATGTGCCATTTCCACAGCCGACTCCAGATCACACCCATTCATCTAAGCAGACTTCTCACCAGGTAACTCATCATCATAGTCAACTCTCTGCAGTCAACTCTAATTATGTTTTAGTCAATTCTCCAAGTGGTGGTGTGATCACTCAACATGCAGACAACTCAACGATTAATGGTTATGAATCATGTCAATCGATATGTGCTGACAGGAGTAAAGAATGCTTCTCTGATGACTCGACGGAAAGGATGACCTTAGCACATGAGGTTTCGGCCTCAGGAGGGTTGAGGGTCCTGGAAGAAGAGTCAGAAGGTCTCGTTCGATCTCCTACAGCTGAAGAAAAGAGTCAAACTCACACTAGTCAAATCTCAGACGACTCACATGATTCAACAATCACCAAGAACACTACAGACAACTCAGATATCCATGGAAGACTCTCTTCAGCACTCAGGGCAGCAGAAGATCCATGCACTAACGAGTCTCCAGTTCAATCAGACAGCTCAGCAGTCTTACTCGCCACAGCCAATGCAGTATTACTTTCAGACTACTCTCAGTTTCCAGTAAGACTCCTGATAGACTCAGGGTCTGAGCTGACGTTCATCTCATCAAGTGTGGTAAAGACTTGTCATCTCCAACGTCGTCCATCAGTAATATCAGTGCTGGGAATTGGTAACGAACCAGCTGTACAAACTAGAGGAGTGACAACAGTGACACTTAGATCAACTCACACACAGGAGCAAGTTACAATTAATGCTCATATTCTCAAATGTGTCACTGGTACTTTACCAACCAGACAACTCAAGGAACTCAACTGGTCAGCTCTCAACTCTCTGCAACTTGCTGATCCAGACTACTCAACTCCAAGACCCATTGACATCTTAATAGGAGCAGATTGTTATGGTCTGATTGTGAAAGCGGGCATCAAACAATGTACGCAGTCATCTCTAATAGCCCAAGAGTCCATCTTTGGATGGATGCTCATTGGAATGCCACAACAGACAAGATGCTCAACTGTGAGAACTCATCACGCAGCAAGGGTCAACTCATACCAGCAAGTATCTGATCTCTTGACAAAATTCTGGGTTCAAGAAGAAGTTCCAGAGACTTCAGCCAGCCAACTCAGCCCAGATGATCAATCTTGTGAAGATCATTATGTTACGACTCATTCAAGAGATCAAGATGGGAGATATATTGTGAGAATACCACTCAAAGCATCACCATCTCTGCTAGGCAACTCATCAGCGAGAGCTCATCAGTGTTTACTACACATGATCAGACGACTCACAAAAAATGACTCATATGCACAACTCTATCACAACTTTATGCAAGAATACGAGTCACTGAACCACATGACACGAGCCAAGGCAAGTCCAGTCAACTCTCCAGTGTATTATTTGCCTCATCATGGTGTCTTAAGAGAAGACAGTGTTACTACAAAGCTTAGGGTAGTATTTAATGGCTCTAGTCCATCTTCTAGTGGTCTATCAGTGAACGATATTCAACATACTGGTGCCAAAGTCCAGAAAGACATTGCAGACGTACTCATTTGGATCAGGCAGCATAAATTTGTGTTCACATCAGACATCACCAAGATGTACAGACAAATCAAAGTCCACCAAGATGATTGGGATCTCCAGAGAATCCTGTGGGTAGACGAGCACTCCAAGATCATCCCATATCAACTCACAACAGTCACGTATGGTACCAGATCAGCTCCATTTCTGGCTGTTCGCACAATGATCCAGCTAGTGAAGGATGAGGGTCATAAGTTCCCTCTAGCTGTTGATCCACTACTAAAAGGAAGATATGTGGACGATATTTTTGGAGGTGCTGACACCGTGAGTCAACTGATAGACATCTCAACCCAAGTCAGACAACTCTGCATGGCAGGTGGCTTCCCGTTAGCGAAATGGCACAGCAACTCACTTCAATTCCTTCAATCACTTACAGACAACTCATCAGAAGAGCAGATCCACTCATTTGAGAGCAGCAAAACGAAATTACTTGGGCTCTCGTGGATTCCAGCGACCGACTCATTTAAGTTCAACTCAAAACCTCCTCGTGAGAAGTCCAAGCTCACAAAGAGAATAATTTTATCAGAAACAGCACAACTCCACGATCCACTTGGATTTCTAGCACCCTTCATTGTCAGAGCAAAGATGTTGCTACAAGAAATCTGGCTAGATAAAATTTCCTGGGATGACCAAGCCCCAGATCACATCATCACCAAGTGGAACAGCTTCAGATCAGAACTCTCACATGTCTCAGACCTCTCAATTCCACGATGGTTACGGATTACTCAGAAATCGACCGTGGAACTTCATGGTTTTTCAGACGCCTCACAAGCAGCTATGGCAGCTGTTGTTTACATACGGGCTACTCATCCAGATCATAGAACTTGTTCAACTATAGTCTGCTCAAAGTCTAAAGTTGCTCCACTGAAGAAGATGTCTATTCCTAGACTAGAACTCACCACAGCATTGCTGCTTGCCAGACTAATCACTTATGTAAGGAACAACTTAGACATTCAGCCAACTCAACTCGTATGTTGGACAGACTCCTCAGTAACATTGACCTGGATTCAGTCTCACTCATCCCGTTGGAAGGAGTTTGTAAGAAACAGAGTGTCAGCAATTCAAGATCTCACTCCAATCAGCGTTTGGAGGTTTGTACCTGGCAAACAAAATCCAGCGGATTGTGCTTCTCGAGGTATCAGCATATCCCAGCTTCGGAAGCACCCCCTGTGGTGGACAGGACCACAGTGGTTAACAGCAGACGAATCATTATGGCCAACTCAATCATCAGTGTACGATTCAAAAGCTCAGCAGGAAGAGCGGCCCGGGCTCACTTTACTTACTCAGACAATTCAACATGATTATCATTGGGATATGATATACAGACATTCTCGGCTAATCAAATTGCTCAGAGTGACTGCAATTTGCTTCAGATTTAGCCAACTCCTCAGACGAGTACCGCAGTCATCTCTCACCTTCCCTCTCACGCCACAAGAATTAGAGAGAGCAAGGATTTTTTGGATAAAGGCAACTCAAGAATCGTACTTCTCACAGGAAATCAAGCAGATCAACTCAAATTCACTGCCCGTCTCACACCCCCTCGCACGATTGACAGCATTTATTGACACTCAAGGAGTCATACGTGTTGGAGGGAGGTTAGCAAATGCTAGCTTGGACCAAGAAGCAAAGCATCCTGCAATCCTACCACAGAAAACTCATC